GCTCTGAGAGGAGAGCACAGCCCCGCCCGCCTTGAAGAGGCGGAGACCTCCCCGAGAAGTGCTCTCCACACTGAGCTGTGGGGTGAGTAGAGATGAGCCGGTGAAGGGTGTCCTGGGTATTAGTTTCCAGGGCTGCCTTAGCAGATTCCCACCGATCGGGGACTGCACACAACAGAAATGTGTCCCTCATGGATCAGGAGGCCAGAAGTCCAAAGTCAAGAGGTTACCCGGGTCCATTCATTCTGGAAGCTCCGAGGGAAAATCCGTCCCATGACCCCAATAGCCTCTGATGATTGCCTGAGTGCTTGGTGTCCCTTGGCTTGTAGATGCATCCCTCCCACCTGTCTCCATGTTCACATGGGCGTGTTTGTGTGTGTGAGTGTGAGTGTGTGTGTCCTTTCCTCCTCTTACAAGGACAGCGATCACTGGATGTGAGGCCCACCCAATGTAGTGTGCCTTCATTTTAACCAGCAATAACTGCAAAGGCCCTACTTCCCAATAAAATCACATTCGGAGGTTCTGTAGGTATGAATTTTGGGGTCATTATTCAAACTACCACAGGGAGTGAGTGAGGCCCTGGGCTGAAGGCACAGCCAGAGGGAGGAGCTCAGCACATTACACTTTGGCAGATGTAATGACTCAGGGTGGCTCTGAGACAGGGTGTAAGGGGGATGTGTGGGGCTGAGGCATGAGAAAGAAGCAGGCGTCTAGTTCTGAAGGGTCTTGGGTGCTAAGCTGGGGATCTGGACATTATTCTGAGGGTCATGGGAAGCCAGGGACTGGTTCCAGAAGGGGGTGTGTGCGCGCACATTACGTTTTGATTTGAGATAGAGGAAGAAAGGGTGAAGTAACGAGGCTGTTATTTGTTGACTTTTGTGCTGCCAGACCTTTTCTTGCTCTGTTTAATCCTTAGCATAACCCATCTCATTGGGAACAATCAGCATGTTTTAGAGGCGAGCCTATTGCAGCCCAGGGAGGCAAAATGCCGTAGCTGTGCCCTGACTCCTGGTTTCCCCGCCACACCCCTCTGCCCAGGACACATACCCGTCCCTCTGTCTGTCTCCCTGAGGGATGTGAGACACCATGTCAATAACAGGACAAGAGGAGTGCGCTGACCCTGCTCTAAAGAGATGTCTAGGAGGGAAGATCCCAAAGGGATGGGGACATATTCCTTCTCCGTCTCTTTCCCACTTTCTGCCTGCAGCTTAGTGAAATCTGACTGATAAGAAGGTATCACTCCTCTCCCGAGGCCTGTGTGCTTGCGATCTTGCAGAAACTGACCTCAGCTCACAGACTGGCATTTCTATTTCTGGAACTTGGTGCCACTTCTCCAACACGGTCCAGGTAGAATTTGGCATTGGGTCATCTCTGAGGCCAGCAGGGCCTCCGCATGCCACCCCGGAGCCTTGACCTCTTCCGCACTTGCTTTCTAAAAATGCCCAGCCCTCTCCCTGCATCCTCTCCTCCTTCTCCACCTCCACTCCCTGCTTGCTCGCAGCGCTTTCCCCTCCACCAGGGCCTGGGTTTGCCTCTGGCGTGTGGACTCAGTGGCTGGGCACTAGCCCTGCCCATGTCTCCAGCGACAGCTCTTGCTCCTGTTTGACGTCCTGGTGAAGGAAGCCCATGTAGGACAGAACAGTGCAGTAGCCTAGACCGGTCCAGTGGACACAGATCGCAGTTCCTTTGTGGGCCTGAGTTACTCATCTGCTTCCTTTGGATAAGATGTCCTGCCCAGCCCTATCTGGTTTGGCTCAGTGGATAGGGCGTAGGCCTGTGGACTGAAGGGTCCCAGGTTCGATTCCGGTCAAGGGTATATACCTTGGTTGCGGGTACATCCCCAGTAGGGGGTGTGCAGGAGGCAACTGATCGATGTTTCTCTCTCATCGATGTTTCTAACTCTCTATCCTTCTCCCTTTCTCTCTGTAAAAATTCAATAAAAATATATTTAAAAAAAAAGATGTCCCGCCCAGACAGAGGTGGCCAGATGGTTCTCTCCAGCTCTTCTGCATTTGCACAGCACCCTCAATTTGTCAGGGTCATCAAAGCAGTGTTCAGATTTGGTTTGCACATCAGCGCTGCTGGGTTGCATGGATGAGAAGCCTATGTACCATGTGCCAGGTGCTCCACGTCCATGAGCTCACTTCTGATCTCTCTCTGTGAGGACATTTTTGACCCAGTTTTAGGGATGAGAAAATTGTGATTCAGAGAGATTCAGGCCATTGTCCAAGATCGCCCAGCTTACATGTGGCAGCACGACATTCCAAAGAGGTCTTTCGGACCCCCAGCCTTCACCCCTAGTTGTGTGCTATACTCTTCCCAGTATTGTCAAGTCCAGTTCCATAGGGGAAGCTGGGAAATCTGAGATCACAGAGAGTAAACTTGGAAATGATCTAGGATTGCAGGGCTGACAAGGGAGGGTTTGGGGGGTGCAGTGGGTAAGGGAGGGGCCATAGTTGCTGGTGGACTGTTTGATTAGGCCTCATCTTTCCCAGGTCAGTGCTGGTCCTGAGATCTGACCCCAGGGTCCACACCCATAATCAGGGAATGCAGAAGGGGCTGGGGTGAAGGGCTCTGGCCCTGCCTGACCCTGAGAGCAAGTACAATCCCCAAAGGTGAGAAGATAGAGGGCAGACTCAGTCAAGATGCCCCCAAGGGCATCAGCGAACCCAAATTAAAAGCTTCTGTGAATAGGCAGCCTCAAGATGTGCCCATAGGACCCTGGGTTTGAAAATAATCTTTTTCTTTTCCCTTCTCGGGATCCCCTCTCTTTTCATGCTCCCTTACTATCTTTCCCATGTTTTCCTCCCCCCGCCTTCAGTGTCTGTGAACCACGGTGGTGTAGAGCTGGGTTCATATCCCTGCATGACCTCACCCTGGCCTTTTTTGTACCAGTTGGAACTAGGATCAAATCCTGTGTGACTTCCAGCAAGTTCCTTAACCTCTGGGAACCCCCTTTTTCACATTGTATTTAAACAATAGAAGCTATAAACCCTAGTACATATGATTGTCTTTGAATCTTCAAGATCAAATAAAATAACATTAAGTAATAGTAAGGAGAAGGCCTGCTATTGTTTTTAACAAGGGTTAGTGTTCTTCCCACCGCCTTTCTCTCCAGTCTCCTTTCCTGTTACCTTTCCTTCTCACTCCCCCTCACTCCCCCTGTGTCTCCTTCCTTTCTTGTCTTTGATGTAACAGCATGTCGCACATGATTTATGGACACAGGAACAATATGTTCTGTGGAGAAAGAAGGGCCTGTTCTTGTTTGTTAGGACTCAGAAGTGATAAACTATATATACATTTTATGTTTTCTTGGCAGATTATACACACACACACACACACACACACACGCACGCACGCACGCATGTATACATAGATACACATACTTATAGTTTCGTATCGTTTTTAAGTTCTGACATCCAGAGAAACCTTCCCGGGGATCCTGCAGTAGCTCATGGCCAAAGTCAAGGCCGGGCTATTATAGCCGCACCTGCCACCTGGCCACCTGTTAGCTCGCTTACCCGTCACCCCCCACCCGCTGTGGAGGTAATGAATTCCAGCTTAGAGAGCTGAGGGCCTTGCAAGAATAACATGATAGTTTCCCGATGCCGTCAGCAGGACAGCTGAGCCACTTTAGTGAGTACTCGCCTTGGCCCGAACAGGTATTCTCAGCAGACGTTCCTTCTCCCAGCCCAACATGATGTACCCAGGGTGAGCACCTGTCATCTCTGTTAGGGGTTATACAGGTGGTAATCAGACATCGTCTTTGCCTTTAGTGAGATCATAGGTAAGGAAGAGCAATCAGCCACAGGGACGTGGGTGAAGGAATGTCGGCTTTAGAGCTAGAAAGCAAAACCAAACCACACAAACACAAGGAAATGAGACCGAGACTCAGACCTCACTCTGCTGCTCACCATCGGAGTTTCTGAGTCTTGATTTCTTCATCTCCCTCCTGTATACAACAGAGGGTCGTCCTTCCTAACTGGGGGGTCACACAGCAGGGACTCAGCCAGGCGGCCTCCAGGCTCCCAGACATAAAGCACAATGTGTAAGAGAGAAAAAGCAAGGTCGCTGAGAGGGCCCACCCCCTTCCTGGGAGATGTGTCTGGTGAGTGAGGGGGAGGCCAGGAGGATGCATGCCTTCCACCTCAAGCCCTGGGGAGGTGCTGTGGGAAACACAGGCTTTGCAAATACCCCTGCCTTTCAGGGAGCTCACAGAGCGGGGCGTTTCACGAATCTCATGAATCACGTAGGATATGCTATGATATAAGCACTTCACCACATTCCACTTTAATGTGTGGTGTACAGATTCAATCCAATACTTACTCTGGGGTTGTATTCAAAAAAATAAACTTTGGTTTGCCTTAAACTTTGATTAAAGGACCCCTAGAAAGACACATTCTTTTCATTCAATCCACAAATACTTACGAAGCATCTACTTTGTCTCAGGTCCCTTGTTGGGAATGAAGCATTAAAAGGCAGTATTCTTGATAATGAAGGAAATAGAAACTATGCAGAAGTTTTACTTGACTTAATCATCCTCTTACAGCAGGATAGAAGACAGACTATCTCTTGAGCCCTCAGTGGACTCAGCCTAGAGAAGAGAAAGCAAGACTGAGAGAGTGTAAGCAAATGTCCTGGGGCCAGGCAGCTGGTGGGAAGCAGTGCCAGGGTTCAGACACTCCCTTGTGTGAAGCCGCAGCCCGGACTGTTCCCAGCATTTAGCAGTCTGCATGGCTCTGGCATGTCCATCATCCATCTCATTTGCTCCTTCTGGCCACCTTATGAAGAAGGAAGGGCAGGGATTCTTACTCATCCTGAGACATCCAAGCCAGGTTGGGAAAGAGCATCTCTCTGGCTTCAGGCCATGGCTGGTGATTCCTGAGGCTTTATGAGCCAAATCCAGGGGTTTGGGCTGAGTGCGGTAGACAAGAAAATGCCCTCTGGCTCTCTAACCCCAAGAACAGCTGCCCATTTGCTGTCCTTCTTCCCTCCTGCTGCAGGGTGGCCTCATTGCTCTGCTGCTGCTGCTGCTGGTGTTCACAGTGGCGTTGTATGCCCAGCGGCGCTGGCAGAAGCGTCGCCGCATCCCCCAGAAGAGCGCCAGCACGGAAGCCACGCACGAGATCCACTACATCCCCTCAGTGCTGCTGGGCCCCCAGGCCCGCGAAAGCTTCCGCGCCTCCCGGCTGCAGGCCCACAACTCCGTCATCGGCGTGCCCATCCGGGAGACCCCCATCCTGGATGACTATGACTATGAAGAGGAGGAGGACCCTCCCCGGAGGGCCAATCACGTCTCCCGCGAGGACGAGTTTGGCAGCCAGGTGACCCACACCCTGGACAGCCTGGGCCGGCCGGGGGAAGAGAAGGGGGACTTTGAAAAGAAAGGTGAGTCCTCCTTGTTGCATCCAACCTTCCAGGGGGCATTTTGGGGAGCTGGGAAGAGGCCTGGGAGCTGGGTGGTTGGGGGCACTGGTATTGTCTTCTGGGCTAAGCCATTTCCGATTGATGGCCCATCTGTGTTGGGTTATCAGAGTTTGTCTTATTTGGGTCTTCCACAGTGAAGGGGGCGGGGAGGTGTCAGTGTTATTGGAATTGGAGTTTTGAGGAGCATCAGAAGATATGTAGTTCAACATCTCTCAGGTACCTCTTGATTACTTCCCTTGATGGCCTTCTCACTACTTAGGAGAAAGCTCATCGCATTTCCAGACTCTATAATTAGAAAGTGTTGTTATCTTGAGTTGAAATGTGTGTCCCTGGCCTCCATGTCTGCAAAGAGCTTATCTTCCCTCTCTGAGGCATCTCTTGGGACATTTGACAACAGGAAAAAAAAAACCCACAAAAAAAACGGCTCCCTGTAACTTCTGAAATCAACCTCAATTCACAATCCCAGTGTCTTCAGCTCCTCTCCCGTGATGTAGTTTCAGACATTGTATCATTTTGGACAGTGTCCTCTAGATGGAGATTCTCATTTTGGATTTCCTGGAGGTAATAGCAGAACCGACACTCCTCTTCCTCAAGGTGGGAATGCTCCCGGGCTGAGCCAAGCGGGTCTTGCACCTCCCTCTCGCTAGCTCTCATGCTTCTGTGATGCAGCTGGAGGTCGCGTTTCTATTTTACAGTTAGTCCTGGCTCATCCAGGAATGTTTGGAAACCCCACGCTCTTTTTCATAGATGCTGTTTCAAACACGCCTTCATTTGGTCTGCTGGTGGACAATTCATGATGTGGACGTGCACCCAAGATGTCTTTCCACTTCTCTTTTTTTAAAACATATTTTATTGACTTTTTACAGAGAGGAAGGGAGAGGGATAGAGAGTTAGAAACATCGATGAGAGAGAAACACCGATCAGCTGCCTCCTGCACACTCCCCACTGAAGATGTGCCCGCAACCAAGGTACATGCCCTTGACCGGAATCGAACCTGAGACCCTTGAGTCCACAGGCTGGCGCTCTATCCACTGAGCCAAACTGGTTAGGGCTCCACTTGTCTTTATTAAGTGTCTATGGCTCCAGCTGGTTTATAGACAGAATTTGGCTGTTTGTCTTTAGTAAATGCTGCAGAGGCACCACCCTGCCTTTTCTCCACAGCATCTTTGGGATGCTGGCGATAATGGGCGGAAGGTTTGGCCAGGACATCCCAGTCCTGACACTGGCCCACTCCTCTTCGTGGACTGAGAGGAGCCCTCACTGCTTGGCCCAGCCCTGCAGCTCTGAACTCTACCTTCTTCTTCTCTGCTCCTAAGATCTTGCCCCTCAGATGCATCTTTTTATAAGCTACTATCTCCCCCCCCCCCCACCACCACGTATAGGCCTCTACCAAGCCCCAAATGGAGAACAGCAAACATCTTCAAAGTGTGGAAGGGGGTCGCGGAGGCAGGTCACTGATTATCTTGTTGGACCTCCTTTTCTTCCTTCCTCCCTCCCTCATTCCCTCCCTTCCCCAAACTGGAAGGGCATACGCAGGGGCCATAAAGAGTCTGCCCACAGGAGGTAGAATGATACAGAAGTCAAGTCTTCCGTTGAGCTTGACTATCTCTGGGGCCAGGGACAAGTTGCACGGGCCTCTCCCATTAAAGCGGCGGGACACTGTACCTTTCAGGTACGTGAGGGCACTTAAGGGAGAAGACACACCTAAAGGGTTTGGTGAGTGATCAGTGTCCAGCACGCGTTTCTGTTATTGCTGCTCATGCCATCGGTCTTCACAGATGTGCCGCTGTGCCGCGCACTAGGATAGGCACTGCAGTGGAGGTGAGGGAGGCAGAGCCTCTGTCCTTAACTCGCAGTGTCCTCCTGGGAGAAAACTGGGGATGGGGGCGAGGAAGCTAATGCTGAGGCCCACGTGGCCCCGGGTCTCTGTGTCACACAGCGAGGACGTGACAGAGCCGTGGTCAGAGCCCAGGTCCTTGGCAGCAAGCCTTGGCTGCCTACCAGAACCTTTGCTGTAGACACCTGTCCTGCCCACCTAGCATCATGGGGATGGATGGCCCATTTCACTGGGAGGTGGGGCCGTCCAGGTCCCGTGCACCTTAAAGAGAACACACACAGTCTTGCGATTCCGGCTGCTGTGCATGTTAGCTGCCAGAAAACCCTCTCTGAGTTGCTCTCATGGTGAGTGTGTGTGTGTCGGGTGGGGAGGGGGTGCCTGACACTTACATGACGGAGACAGCACAGGGGACAGAATCGTGCTGGATCCACGGGGTACACAAGACAAGCTGCCAAGCGGGCAGGGAGGCTGCTCTTGGCCTCCTCTTCTCCGTGTTCTTTCCCTCGTATTTTCTTCCGAGAAGAACTCTGTTCAGACAGTAACAAAGCTGGGCCCTTATTTTCTGAAATCTTAGCTCTAGTGTTGAGAAGCACAAAAGAGAGATCCAAAGAGAGTGAGTGGTGGATGCTGGGGAGTAAGGCCCGGTCCTCCCTGAGGGGCAGCTGGGGCAGTGGAGGCGGGGGGAGTAGAGGTGAATGGATTTGACTGGAACCGGGCTCTTCATTTACTGCCGCAAGGCCTCGGGCAGAACTCTCAGCCACCTTGCAATCCATGCCTTCCTCTCACCTGTTTTCATCTGAGCAAAATTAGTTCTTCAAATGTTCCTCTGAGTAGACTTTACAATGAAGTACAATCTGAAATGAAGCAAAGCACTTCATGCAATACTGTGTCCCAGCCACCATCAGGGCAGGACAGGAAAGGGAGTAGGCGAGATGGAAGTAGAGGGCACACTTTCCCTGACTCCTGGTAGGACTCTGGTCACCCTAACCACTGGGACGTGGCTGCTGGTGGCTCTTGTTGCAGCATCATGGTCCCTGCATCGCTGTGCACATGGTCCTCCTCGCCTGGACAGGAGAGGGACGATTATGCGGCAGATTGCAGATCTAGCAGCAGCAGCTCAGACCACATTTGGGTGTGTTGCCCCAAGTGGCCCCTGAGAAAGAACCAGAAGCTGTCTCTTCCTGGGAGGGGGGTGTGGGGGGGTGCGGGTACCTGGGCACAGCCGTGCATTTGGTCACGAGGGGCAGGCATTCAGAGGCTGGGCAGTTCATGCAGAAGTCACCCAGCGCCCTTGGACATGACCTTGCCCGGGCTAATCCCGCCTGTGCATTTCACACTTAGACTTTGCCTATCCATTCACACTGCTCCATCCACTTGCGCTCCGTCTGCCTGCTTTCTGGAGAGTGGGAGGAGGAGGTTTCATTGCCAAGCGACAACTGCTTGGGTTCCCGGGTGCTAGGCAGGTTTGACATTCGGGTGATACACACCTGTGTGGTGGTACCTTTGTGAAATATTGAAGTTCTTCTGTGCCTGTTGGTAAATAGCTCACAGCCCTGGAAAATAACCCCTCCCCCCACAATGCCCTCCTGCTGCCTGGCAGTCCCAGCCCCTCCCCAAGGGCCCTCCTGAGGTGCCCACTGACCAGGGCTGGGGTGGCATTAGGACACTGCTGTCCTGCTAGTCGCTGCCTGTGCTTTAGAAGTTCTCAGGTATGTGGCTCTCACTCCTGATGCCACCTCAGAAGTGAGAGTTTGATCATGTCAGGAGGTAAGTGCTCAGCACTGTGTTTGGTACATAACAGAACCCTGATACCTTTTAATTCCCATTTTTCTTATCCAGCTTTAAATGTGTGTTTCCCTTCCCACAATATTACACATGGAATTGCAAGGAAAATAACAAATCTGTCACTTTATCAAGGGATAGGGTACGGGATTGCTGAATGGATATTGGGGTTCCTTAATTTTGTTTTATGATTGTGAAAGAAATGAATGCTCTTTGTAATAGAAGAGAGGGAGGGAAGGAGAACGGGAGGGAGGTAAGAAGGGGAAAGAAATGAGAGAAAGAAAGAAAAGAGAAAGACATGAAAGAAGAAAAGTCTGATGGTGTAAAGCAATAACTAAAAGTCCTACTTTGTCTCTATCCTATCCCACGGACAGGATCCAAAGGGTAATTCTTCATAATAGTTTGACTTATATTATTCTAGCATTTTCCAAAGTACACAGATATACACTGATGGGGCCATCTCAGCCACACACACCATTCTGAAGCAGTTTGATCATTTACCAAACAATGTAAGAAAAGCATCTTTCCATGTCGGCCCTGCACGCCCATCTTACTCTCGTTGAAAGCTGTATAGGAGTCAGGGATATGAGTACACAAAAGGCACCAGCATTTACTTTATTACATTATCTCAATTTTTTGCAGTTATAATAAGTTGATAAATATCCTGTACCAATACACACACACACACACACACACACACACACACGTAGGTATCTTGTAAAGCGTGAGACTATTTCTGTAAGAAAAATGCCTAAAAGCATCTCTGCATCAAAGGGTGCACATTATACGTCTGCAAGAACAAATTACACATTTTGTAGTTTTGCTAAGTACTGTCACATGTATTCATTTTAAAAATTGATCTTATACTCTCCAGGGCAGCTACATACACTCTCCCACACCGGTCTGCACAAACAGCTCCTATCACATCACATTGGCTATGTGTATATTACCATGGACCCTCTTAGCCTTTATCTACTTACTTGGCATCATTTTATATGTGCAGTTTTCTCTTTTGATTTTTTTTCTAATTAACATAGCTCTACATTCTTCTCTTTGTGAAAAGTCTCATAGTCACCCCAAGCAGCTAGGATTCTTTTGTGGGGGAGGGCGGTGCAGGATAAAGACTTGCCTTTTTCTCCTACTTGTGTTCAGGACCGAGGGTGGAAGAAGACAAGAGGTGTGGCCTCATATACCAGCAGGGGCCCCCAGTGATGGAGAAGGAGGGAGGGGTCACGGTCCCTCTGACATGGGGCCAGTCGCCTAAACATTAGTGTCCCTCAGGATCACAGACCAGCACGTCTCAGGGTGAACGGGACCTTGGTTGAGAGGATGGAGAGGAAGC